TCCATTAGAAACCATAACTTCAGTTAGGACCCAAGCCTCTCTAATCCTAGCAGGAGTTTTTTGGATTGGTTGGTGCAAGCATAAATATTTCCATTTTATAGATGAGGAAACTTTGGTCCAGAAATTGAAACACTTTGGTGTAAATTTCCCTGGGGAAATTCCTAGGTCTCCGTGGAATTAGAACCGAGGACTCTGTTCTCTTTTCTAGCACAGCAAAAGAATTACTCACGTCATGATGTGCGTCTCCACTCCTGCCTCCACCAGAGCCCCATCGACGAAGAGAGGAACAGAAGTGAAGCCGTACTTGTCCCAGGAGTGACCCTCGTCAAAACTCACCCTGGGTTGGAAACAAGTACATGGAAAAAACAGCTGAAAATAAAGCCACAGTCATTTGCAACCATTGTTCAGGTTATTAAATTTTCCTCTGTATCTCCCTCTCTGGCAGTTTGGATTATCAAGGGCATTAATCTTCAACATCTGCCTATATTATTATGAGATTTGATCAAAAGTACATTTCCTGGCTCAGGCAGAGACAGCACCAGAGCTGCAGAAATACTTCAACACATTAGAATCGGAGAAAAAAGAAAAAAACCCAAGCAGGAGGGCTTAGTGGCTGGAGTGTCACGTTTCAAGTACTCGGAATGGAACCTGAGGTTCAATTTACAGCACAATCAATTCAGCCCTGGAGTTTCTGACGCAGACAAATTGAGTAGCGCGGGGTGTATCCTATGGGAAGGGGGGTGTGTGTCTTTCAGATCAAACCTTAAAAAAAGCAATTTCCTATTTGTTCACAATGGATGTTAGGATCATTTTCCCTCCCCTGTGCCACTTTAAGGGGCTTTTAGGGATGACTCTTGAGTGTCTGAGATGTTCTGAGTGACACTGTTCCATCTTTCGTCAAATGGTAGGAGGAAGGTCTGGCACCTCTGGATACAGAACCTGGAACTCTTTTAAAATATGCTACTATTGGAGGAGCCTTGAGCAATTCTGAGTGCTCACTTCCTTCATCTCTGTGACTTTAGCAAGTACTTGTCTGCCTCTTAATTTAACTAGGGGACATAGCCTAAAGATCATCTCCTGAGAAGCTTTTCTGAGCACCCTTTCCTCCCCAAGACAGCTTTAGTTTCTTCATCCTCCGAGATTTTTCTTGCCCTGGCTGATTCTTAATTCTTCTCTAAGTTTACAGTTTAGAACTAGAAATATCTCCTATATGTTCCTACAACAACCTGGCCTTCTCCTATCATAGAACTGAGCAATGACATCTTAACTGATCTTGAACCTCTCAATTCAAGATTATAAACTCTGGGAGTTCAGAGATCATGTATGGCATTCACCGAATGACCCCTTAACACCACATATATATCTCTATAGCAATGCTTCTTACATTACATTATATATTTTTTAGAAAATATATCTGACTTTCCCACTAAATTATGAGCTTTCAGAGGTCAAAGACCATACCATTAACTCTGTGTTCCTAGTACTTATCAGAAAAGTTGGCACATTGTTGATACTACATAAGGGCTAAATGAATAAGAGAATAGAAAAAAACAAGGAATGATGAAAGGCCCTCTTCAATCCATCATCCAATAATTTTTT